AAAAAATGACCTGTGAGGATCCCACATGCCTAATTTTGCATCGTCTAGAAATAATACCAATTGGCAAAACAAGCAAACTAATGAGCAACGCAGGTGGTATTTTCACTCTTCTTAGCTTCCAGACATTTTTATGAGACAAACAGAAAGAAAATGTAGCTGGAGCTGAACTGCTATTTAAATATTTTATTCACAATTCTTACGTTAACTTAGTGATCACTTTGTAAATTCTGTCATATTTATCTGAAAACTGTTAAGAATGTCCTTAGGAAAGGGGAAGTTTAGTTGCTGTTCAACTCTGACTGATCTCAGAGTATCTATGCAGCACCCTTAAGAAGGGCATGGAAAGAGGACACACTCTTCTCTGGTAAACATTGTAATGACAAGCTAGCATTTAGGCTGACAGAATACAAAAGTCTTTGGCAAGCATACAAGCATAAAGTTATTTCAAGGGCAATTAGAGCAGGGTTTTGTTTCTACTGTACATACAAAAATATTTTTTCTACCTTAAAATTGAGTACCCAAACATAAAGATTTGTGGGTTTGGATTATTTTCATTAATATTTTGGGAAAATTGCATTCAGGAAATAATAAAGTATTTTGTATTAAATAAAATATTTCCTTAACTTTTTCTTTTCTTAAAGTCTCCACTTTTAAAGATACTTACTCACAATAACGGGATAGAAAGTAACAAATTGTCAGATAATTTCTATGCTAATTCACTATCACATTTACTTTGAGTTCTTACTAGTAGCATAAAAACCAATTTTCTATTAGACAAAATCTAAAACAGTAATTAAAACTTTCTGAAGATCTTTTCATTCCTTTACAGTACATATCATTTTGCTCCATGTAATCTTTTTTGTGATGAGTGATGAGAATTATTTTTTATTGTGATGTAATAACCGTGTTTTGTATATTGAGTGACTGGACTATGGACATATGGTGTAAACTCTTTGTACTGTCTCATTTCCTCATTCGTCACTGTCTGTCCTTGGGCGTGGTGCTGTGACCGGTGTTACCAGGTGACGACAGTACAGGAAGTGAGCCGCCATTATCACCCCCAGAAAGGCTCCCCATCAGACGTTCTAGTACCAGAGACAAAAACAGAAGAGGAGAAACATGTTTCTTACTGACGACAGGTGCTTACACGTGTGCTTCTGACGAAGGGATCAGGAAAGGTAGGCATGCATTTGATCAGATCATAACAGGTGATTTAGTAATTAAATAAGTGCTGGAGATATATAAAGTGATGTAAATTGTTCATTCATCATTCTCTGGGGAAGACTGGTGTGCCTTTCTTCCCACCCCACACCCATCTTCATTCATTATAAACATTTAAGGCTCCTTATCAGCATAGACTGATGGTCATATCAGAAAGGCTTCTCACCTTTTTCCTTCTTCTTTTGATTTTCCATTTGTCTGTGGGCAGAATTTTGGTGGAATATGTAAATAAATCTTAAATCACTCATCTACTTAGTTTAATATAATGTACTTAGCAGTGTTTAAAATATTTTTCCTTTATTACAACACATAAATCTAATTGGCTCTATGAATATATTTGATAGGTAATTGGTTACTATAAGAGAGTGATAAAGCTTTTTTCAAATTAAAGTCTTAAATATACTCTAAATTTCTTATCTAATATCTCAACAGTTTTTGTCAGTGTTTTATCTGAGCGTCTCAAAGTTTTGGAAGTACATATATATGTATTTAAATGTTACTTGAGAACTTAAAAATGTTCATATAGAATTTTTCTTCAGGAACAATATGGTAATTTTAAGTTCATTACTATTTTTCAACAGATACTAAACAGTGCTTGACACATTAGGAGTTGTCAAATGAATGAAAATGGTGGGTGGTGTCTCTGTTAAACAGTATGACAGAACGATCTGTGGAATTTTAAAAGATTATTGACTAAATTTGAATGAACACCAACTACAGAATTTTTACATTAGTGCAACTGCATTTTTAAGATAATGTGCTTGTTTTGTATTAAATGCAGTTTTTTTCCTGTTTAACTTTTTGCCATTTGAAGCTTTAAGTATTTTGTGATGAGATTTCTTTGAAAATTGTCATTGTTCATGTTATAGTTCCCATTTTTTCCAGATCATATATTGTCCTCTGTTTTTATATCTTTGAGTCTCCAAAGAGAAGACAAAAGACTCTTCTTTTGTTTCCTGATTAATTATATTTTAAATACTTCTCCATTCCAATTATTTTCATCATCTGCATCTGCTCCTTGAACTACAATGTATTTCAACCATTTGAATGTGTTCGATTATTTACTATGTTACATTTACCAGTGTGCTAGAAATATTTAAATATTTTGTGAAGATAATTAATATCCTATTATAGCATTTGAGGAAAATATATGTGCATACATTAAATAGATAATAATATCTAATAATATACTGAGTATATTCTTCTATGTGCATTGGATACTTAAATTGTTTTATATTTATGTATGTATGTATGTACATGTATACTTGTATATAGCATATATCAGTACATATTCATATGTATGTGTGATTAAATTTATGTACATTTTGTGCATCTGATGAAGTATTCCATGAAGCATTAATATCAACTCTATATATTTAAGAACTTTATTAGAAATTTTTTTCTACATTAGACAATAGTTTGAATTTTAATCTGTCAAAAAAATTACAGATCAGAAAAGCCTTTGCAAATTATAAGGTACTATGTAAATATAAACTTTTAGTGTACAATTGAAAATTTTTGTGAGCAAAGCAATTGATAAGATATTTAGTTTTATGGGACCATTTTAAGTTCAATTTTATTTTGCAAGCACAAATTTTTGTACTATTGAAGACATCTTTAAAAATCTTTTATGAGCTTTAATGCTTTATCATTTTGTCATTTTTTTGCCATATCAACTCTTTTTCAATCTTGGTTAATTCTTTTTGCAGCAATGTGGTCTGCTCTCCTAGGTATGATAACATTTTGGGGTAATTTAAAACATCTTTAGTGTGATATACTACCATAATCTACCAAAAATTCATTCACTTATTTTTCTCCTTCATTTTATGTAGTGTGTAGCTATCATTTATTACCTCTACTTAGACATTTATTTCCTGTATGATCCCTTCATTTACCTTTCATATTGGCCTACTGATTTTATTTTAAAATTCTAAAAATTCTTTCATATTAATGATAATGTACTACTGGATTTCCATTGCATTCTTTCTATTACTTAAAAATATAGTTGGATATACATGAACAAAACTTAAAGATTCTCTTAAAGAGTGAAATTGAAACACACAGAACATATGCTTTGATTTATACAGTAGTTTTTAAGGAAGCATATTACATAAACAAAAATATACATAGAATGTGAATTGACACTTGTAACATTGCCACAAATAAGCACATGGTCTGATGAACTGAATAAAGTGCAAGATGTATATTCAGATGTTGGTTTCAAAAGGTGTAATATTTTTTACTCTAATGACTTCTATTTTCAGTTACTACAGAAAAAGCTTAATGAGGCTAAAATTTATCAAATTTTCTAACCATAAGTAAATATATAGAATAAAGAAGTACAAAAGTATGTGAATAATATATAATTTTATTAAATACTTGTTACTAACATAGAAAGGGATCTCTTTCAAGTGGATATTGAAATTATGAGCATTAAAAGTAAAAGGAACTGTAAGCAGGATGAACGACATTCATCTAGCAAATTATAATTTAGACATATAGCTAACAGAATAACAATCATCATTTATCACTCATATAGTTAATATAAAACTGTCAAATAGATCTTTATATTTTTCGAGGTCCTGTAGGTAGTATGAAAATTGTAGAAGACAAAGTCATAATTTTTACAATGATGGTTTCTGGGTATTAACAACCCTTTTGATTCATGAATATTGACCATGTTTCCCCTTACTCAATACTAATCAGTGTTTACAGGCTAGCATAAATGTATACATGACAGTCAACTTTTGTGTCGAATAAATTTATTTTTCTACAATTTCCAAAGTTAATATTAGGTACTTTACAGAAAACTAGTAGTAATTAACCTTCCAGATAATGAGATTTTTTACGTAAGAATAAATTAACTGCAATTCAAAAAATCTATTTAAGACATCCTCCAATTAACTCTATAACATCTACCGGCACAGAAAGAAATACATACCCTCTCATATTTTATTACAAAGAATACTAACAAACATTGGCAGAAAATTTTTTAATTAACAGAAATTACATCCTAGAAAACTTTACTATAATTAATGGATTACCTAAATTTCCATTTAGAAATATCTCAGAGAAGAAATGCAGTCCACTGAAAGTTAAAGGATGTGTATTTGGGGAAGAGATATTTGTCATTCCCTTTTTTTTCCTGGCCAGGTTTTCCCTGTTATAGATTTCTTATTGCAATCCATATCTATATCTGTGATGATCTCACATAAGTCATATAATCAGGTAAGTCACCTCTCTTCTTGCAATGAAAAGTGGAGGAATAACAACACCTTCTATCTTGGAAGTTCTATCAAAAGATACGATTAAAGAAAGGAATAGCTGGTAGGAATGTGAGGACAAACAAAGAACTCATCTTTTTTCCTTCCACAATCATCAGGCATGCTGTGTGCTCAGTAGAGTCGAAAGTGTGCTATGCATTCTAACATGATAAGTTCACCAGAATTTTATGTGTTCATTCACCTTTGGTTGCTCAAAATAAAATATATTCTCCTGCTCTATAACAGCTCTTCACTGGAGCTGTCAGAATATTCATTTCCAAAACTGTGTAATAGGATATTTTTAATCAGTATTTGCCCTGCTTTTAAGACTTTTCACTTCAAACTTTACATTAGATGATTCCTACTTCATTTAACTGCCTGTTAATATTTTGTAATAAAAAATATTATGATATATGAGTCCTTCCAAAGGAGACCTTAATGCAGCGTTACTTGAGTAGTTAAGGAAAACCATTGGGTTAGTTTGTGAGAGGCTGCTTTATTCTCTATGGTTATCATAAACAAAAGATCAGGATAAAATATAATAGAAAAAAGGGGAATTAAAGTCAAAATTTTCTCAACTTCTGGGAGATGAAGGAAAGGGAAGAGGTTGGCTGAAAACATATAATCAAAATCAGATGTATTTCACTGAAATTATGACACAATTTCTGTTTAATTCACTTTCTTTTCATTTATTTTTATCCAAGTGGTTAGAAAGGGGCATTCCACCTTATATCACCTGGATAATGGCGTTAAATGTCATTTTTTAAGAATTTTCATTTAAACCCTATAAACCTGGAGAAATGAATATGCAGGAAAAAAGAGTTGCTCACTTAACGTTAAGCATGCTTCATTAGCTTATCAAGGGGGATGGGGATTTAGCTCAGTGGCACAGCGCCTGCCTGGCAAGCGCAAGGTCATGAGTTCAGTTCCCGGTACCGGAGAAAAAACAAACAAACAAAAAACAACATTAGCTTATCAAGGAATAAAAATGAAAAGAGAATCACAGTTCATTATTTATTTTCAGAACCACATTCTGAAATTTAAAAATATTGATCAAGTCCCTATCTTACTTAAATTGCTTTGCCTAATTCTTAAGAGTTCTGGCATTCTCCATGCCAAAATTAAATCAATACTAATTCTAACCTGGAAAGTGGTATATTTTTGACTATTACAACCATAATTTGTGATAGATGGCTTAATCATTTGAGAATGACAGTTACAGTGAGTTTCATTTTTTGGATTTAAAATTTGTGTCAATATTGAATGCTTTTTGAGCTCAAAAATAGCACTTTTGGTTACTCTGCATGATATAGTCTGTCTGTGTCTATTTTCTGGTTAAATTCAACTGATGTCTGTGCATTTTTTCATGAAAGGATACGAAAAATCCCGAAGTTTAAACAACATAGCGGGCATGGCAGGCAATGCTCTGAGGCTCTCTCCAGTCACATCACCCTACAACTCTCCTTGTCCTCTGAGACGCTCTCGATCACCCATCCCATCTATCTTGTAACCCAACTGCATCAGCTGGCTAAATTGTATTAATTCCAGTACTGTTTAACCCATAAGGGAAATAATTAAAAGTAGAATTACTCCGGGCTCCATTAACACAGTATAAGTCCTGCATGAGTCTACTACTTGAAGTCAGAAATGCCACATGAGTAGCTAGCAAATCTTATCCTGGCTTTGAAGATTATCTGAAGTAGGATTATTACTTCTCTATATTAATTGCCCTGGTATCCCCTTGCAATAAAACGACATATAGTGTCAGATATTGGCCAGTACACTAACACATAAATGTATATTCAGGGAGATATATTTAAAAAGCGTGCTTCCAAATGCCAGCTACTTTATTGGAACTTCATTTCCTGTGACTAAACCATTCTGAAGATGTCTGGGATCCTATCCGAATTGCATACAATATGACTTTGGTCAGTTCATTTGCATGGGTCATGTTGTCCCTGTCACTGAAAGCAATGTTGCAGAGTTTGGGAACTATGGCTCCAAGATATGTGTACTTTGCATCCAATCATCCTGCTGACATGAAGGCATTGGTTGACTGTTCTGCATGTTGAAATGTGGGGTGGGATGAGGAGTTTCTCCTTGGCACCCTTTCCCTTACTCTTTGGTAGAAATATTTGTTTTAAGGTGGTTCTGAGTTTTTGATTAATTTACTTTTCTTCCAAAATGCTGTATTGGAGTTCTCAATGTCTTTGGTTGTTTGTACACAGATAACTGCAAAGAGGTTGTCTTTACTGGTTACACGCAAGCCGATGCCAGATCTCTTACTTAATGACTTGGGGAAGGCACAAAACATGAGAGAAAGGTAACTGCCAGCCAGGCTTGCATTGCTAGAAATTGCTGCTTGGTACTAGAGTAACTTTTTTAATCCCAAGATTTATCATTGTTTTCAGAAGCAAAATGCCAAATATTACCCAAAGCTCTGGTGTCCTTTTACCCACCTCCTTTACCTTTATCCATTAATTTTTGTGCAAATTACAAGTCACTGGTTATTCACAGGCTTTTTCAACTAGCCTTAAAATTTTGAAGCGAATAACAAATCAGATGTCTAGGCAGCGTTTAATCAGGTGCTTTGTCCTGTATGTTGTTCCTGTCTTTCTGTCTTAGCTCCCAGTCCTAACTGTATTTGCCATTTGTCTTCATGAAATGTAGAAATGCCTTGATAAGGTATTCAAAATTTTATTGCTGGATTTCCTCCCTCCTGTCCCTTGTCTTCTTTGCTATTTGAGGCAGCCTCTCCGCTTTGAGTATAAGTTAATGTTGCCCTGTATACTACCTAAATTAGCCTACACTGTGAATCTTTTTAATAAGCAGCAATTTCGCCATGGTATTTGGTTGTGCAACGTAGTGTAAGTTTCTACTACCTAGCAACCAGCATTCATCAACACACTCCAGCAAAATCCCAAGGGAGTCTAACTGAGTGTAAGTGGAAGGAAGTCTGTTTACACGTCCCTACCAAATGTGAAAGCAATAGGGTGTCCGATGTTTTGGGGCATATAAAAGGAGAAAAATGCCATGATATAAATAGAGAAATAAATAGTTTTAAGGTGTCTAGAAACCTTGAGATTAGTGGTTAATTCCTAGATCTCATGTTTATTTTTTCTTAGAAAGACAATTGTCATTTTTATTATTGGACAAGAAACATATATTACTCTATATTCTCGAGTCCTAGAGCATGACCAGCATGTCAGAGATCTTGTACAGCGATGTATTTATCCAGACACACATATCTGATATTTAGAGATGCTGTGATCCTTTTGATAACATCAAATATAGAATGTTATAATTATTTACATTTATGGTAAAAGAATTAATATGTTGTCTGGTGCTGCTGTTATTGACTGCAGTGTTGTGCAGAATTTGTCATGAATTTTTGACTGCTGAAAAAGAGACATTGGAATTTAGCCATACCAAGGATTGTACTGGAAACAACTTCTGCTACTGAATGTGCCCTGATTTGACCAGGTTGTACTTTGAAGAAGTCCCTACATCTTCATGAGGCACTAAATGCTTGTGCAAGAGGAGAACTGTGGCTGGAACTGCCTTGGTGTTACCCATGTGAGCGTTCTGCTTGGAGACTGATCAGTGGCCATAGAGGAACAGCTGTAAATACCAGTATGTGTGCATGGAGCCACTGCTTTGGCCATCTCGCTTGGAGGGAAGCCAAGTTCGTGATAAACATCTCTGAAGCTTCAAATAAGGCCCATATTTCCTTGCATTCCTCCTCACGGGCCTGCTGTAGGTTGTGCTGTGAATTATACAAGGCAGTATACTGATGTAGTATAGATTTGTCTTAATTTTGTGTATTTCTACTTTATGGATGGATCCTTAATTGACTATGTTGTTGTCATACAAAACACTTATGTTATTAGCTTGTTAACTGTGTTACAAAATTTTTAGTGTCTGTTTACCAAAACTGATCTATTTTTAGTCTCATATTTGTTTAGTTCTGGAAAAATCTTTATGGCTTAAAAGAAGTTCACCAACAGTATTGCTAGTTTAAGTCTTTTGTCATTGTTACCTCAATTATAAATATTACAAAATATAAAATTCTGGCAATGAGAGTATTTTTTTATTAAATGATCAAGGAATAAAGTCAGTGTATAGTAGAATATTAAATTATATGATAAGATGTATATTTTGCATAAAAGAGATATTCTTCAATCAATTAATTTTGTGAGTTTTGTGGCTAATGAAGCTTGTACCTGTCTTTAAAATTGTTGTAGTTGAAACTGTGTAAGAGTTTTTCATCTTGCTTAATCAATATTTCTAGAATCTATTAGTTCCCCTGGGATTCTGAATATAACATATAACCTAATTATGAACCCCTGTATCGTGAACCTTTTGTGAACATTTCAAGGTGCATGCATAACCTTGGTGATAACCAATGGACATGTAACTAACTGAAATGAAGAATAAAAGGCAAATGAGCTGGGGATGAACTGATTAAATTATTCATATTATTTGCTTGGCTTCTTTGTGTTGCAGTTTTCATTAACGTTTACTATTTTTATGCTTCACAGCACCATATCCAACACTCACATCAATAAAGACTTTGAGGTAAAAGGATTTTAAAACATGTATAACTCTTGGGGCTGGGGATTTAGCTCAGTGGCACAGTGCCTGCCTGGCAAACACAGGGTCGTGAATTTGATTCCCGGTACTGGAAAAAAACCAAAACCAAAACAAACAAACAAACAAAAAAACATGTATAACTCTTGTTCTCATTCAAGTGTTCAGTATATAGCCAGTGTTTTCTTCTTCTTTTGCTTCTCTTACTTGGTTTATCTAAATGCCTCTCAGAATTCTAAAATTGTGAAATGACTAAGTATATGTAGTACCTAATATTCATACATAACATTTATAGGGCATTTTATAATTAATACTAAATTTTCACAAATGTTTTCCAACTTAATCTCCATAATTCTGGAGCCAAAGTTTTTTTATGTGATTTGTAGTAAAGTTAAGGATCAGAGAGGATAACTATTCATTCACATTTTTGCTACAGATACCCTCTCTTAGTTATTATGCCTTAAATATTTCTTGTAGATGGAGCATCATAAAGATGGCTTTTGTCTCGACTTCTGACAGTGGGTCTCTGTTTCAGCTTCACGCCACACAGAGCTGTTATGCCATTTGTACGGAGGGTGTAGATTTATCCTATGACATTTTATAACATCATCCACAGGTAGAAGGATAAAATGAAAGAAAAAATGTTAGCAAATCCAACACTTTCCCATAGTTCATGGGCAGAAGTTCTCTTATGACTAAAAATATTCTGTGTTGATTATTGAAATGCTATTAAGAAACTGATCTTACAACAGGGAATGTGTCTGCATACAATTATTTGTAAAGTATTTTTAATGATTGTGGCAGGATTTCTGCAAGAAGAAAAAAATTCTAGAAGGATAAATAGTACAACTCAATAATTATATTTACTCTCAGTTTTTGATTAAAAACCAAGATTGAATAATTACGAATATAAGGTAAAGATATTCATTTTGTCTTTGAAATAAATCAGAAGATACACTCATAGGCTAGCAACAGTGACCTCATCTTAAAAAGACAGTGAACATGTTAGCAGCCTACATTTCAAAGCAGAGACTTTAGAGGATTTACAGTGTGGTTGAGGACACACTGAGCTAAATGAATCAATTAAGATGTTGAAATTCCTGGAAGTTTAATGAGATCAAAATATGTAGTTTAAAATTTTTCCTTACTATACAACAATATTCCAATATATATTGCCAAATTTAATTAACTGTCTAAATGCTTGAACATTATTTGCAGGCCATCCTTGTGCAGGGGCCCTGCCAATCTTCTCTGTATTGCTCTGATTTTAGTATATGTGCTGCACATATGCACAAAATACTTAAACATTATGAAATAATAGATACACATGAATTTTCTCTCACATGAGTTCATTATCCTTAATATTGATTTCATATTTTATAATTCCCCAATAATTAACTTTGTTTAGAAGATATACCTTTTTAATCCTTTGTGTTCACTTAACTCATCCTTTCCTCTTCTTATTGAATGGTTAGAATTTTTGTCACTGTCCTAGTAGTTTTGACTTTCCCATAATGTCATATTCTGCAAACTATACATGTGCCATTTTGTTAGCATCTTTCATTTAGAAATATATATTTCTGTTGCCTCCATGATTTGTCATGCCTCAGTGTTTTGGTTACTTTTCTTTTTTTGCTGAGACAAAATACCAGATGCCAAGAACTAAGGAAGCAAAGCTTTATTTTGCTCACACTTTGTGGAGGTTGCAGTCCACACTCTGCTGGCTCCAAGGCAGAGAGGCACACAGCAGAGGGCAAATGTTCATGGCAGCAGAAAACAGCAAAAGCAGCAAGAGCAAAAAGGGAGGAGTGCAGCAAGTATTTTTCCCTCCCCTATATTGTACTCGGGCTCTCCACCGTAGGGTGTGTGTAACACTCACACCCATCATCCCAGCATTGGACCACAAGTCAATCAAAAACTCTAGAAGCCTTCCCCATGACTTCATGAGGCTTTAGGGGGACATCTAGATACAAACTTATTGTTTTTAGCAATGAATATTATTCCATTCTTTAGTTATGTCATAGTGTAACTCAAGAACATTGTATGTGTCAGAGTTTTCAGAGAAACAGAACCAATATATAGGATTGTTTGTTACATAATGAGATATACTATAGGAAATCATCTCATGGAATATGAAATCCCAGAAGTCCCACAATCTGCTGTCTGCAAGCTGGAGACCAAGTGAATTAGGTGATATGTTTCCTGTCTGAGTCTGAAAGCCTAAAAATAAGAACTCATGGAGTTAATTCTAATCCAGGTGGGAAGGTCTAGACACAGGAGGGTCAAAAGTGTAAATTCCAGTCCAAGTCCAAAGACCTAAGAGCCAGTCATGTTGCTATTGTAAATCCTGGTCCATTAGCAGAACACTGATATTCCAGCTCCATCGGTCAGACAGAGGGAAATGTTCCTTTCTCCAGTCTTCTTCCACTCAGACACTCAACAGATTGGATGAGGCCCACTCATGTTTCATAGAGAAGTCTGCTTTACTCACTCTACTGAGTCAAATGCAAATCTCCTCCAGAAATAATCTCAGAGACACATCCAGAAATATGGTTTAATCAGATTCCTGGCCCAGTCAAATTGACAGAAAATTTAACATCATAAATCCACCCCTTGTAACCTTCACACTCATAAGCCTTTCCTGAAAACATGCTAAATCTTCAAATAAGGATAATAGCAAGATCACGATTCTAGCATAATGCAGTGGACCCTCTATATCCACAGCTTCTGCGCTCAGAGATTCAATTAATTTTCAGTTGAAACTATTCAGAAAAGTTTACCTTAGGCTAAACATGTACAGTGTTTTTTCCTTGTCATTACCCCTAAACTTTATAGAAGATATACATAGACAGTCTGCAGATGCTGTGGCAGTTTATACGAGGGACTTTGCCTTCCTTGAATTTTGATATTATCTGGGGGAGTGTGTTGGAACCAGTCTCCATTAGGATGTAGTGAACTATACAACTATTCTGCTTTCATTAAAAATATATTAAACTCTTCTCCAGAAGAAAGGTAAAGTCCTTTACAGTTGATTATGCTTCTCTCTAATACCCAATAGCTTAAATACTAGGGTATAAATTGCACCCTATGGGAATAATAAAGTGACAAAAAGACAATTTATGCATATATTCAAGACACTCAAAGCAAGAAGGAAACACCCATAACTGGGAATTTAATCATGGCTGATTTTTAGAACTGCATCCTTCCTCCACACAGCCTAGGTTCCTTTTGCCTTCAGTAAGCTGATTGTGGTTCTTTACCTTGTGGAGTGACACAAACCTTCATCATTTGAAAATCTTCACCTCCATAGACCTCAATTACAAGACATAATAAAAGACGCCCTGAGAGATTACCCTAGATTCAGACATGTTCCTCCTGCCTGCATTGCACAGTAGCAGTGCAGTGTTCTTCATAGTAAGTAGCGGTCACTCTGATGGCACAGTAACTGGTCTCTTTGTCTTTTGACTCAAAAGCCTGTCATAGAGTCATTGTGCTTTTCGGTGGAAGCATTACTTTCCTTGAAAGTATTAGCTGTAGGCCAGCAGGGCATAAATTTGTGAGAAGAGGCAGCAAAATTCTGCCTTTTGGTCACTAGGAGTAAGGTTTATGGTGTTACCCCACTTGATTCCTTTCTATCTTTCTATGGGAGAACATATCTTTCTATGGGCCAACATGTCTTTCTATGGGAGAAACCCTGAAAGCAAAATGTCCTTTTGCAGAAACTTGTCCTTGCTGTACAAGCTGTTGACACTTAGCTGGAGCTATGAGAGTGTCCATTTATAGTCAAATCAGTCTTAGTGGAAATCCATGCTGTTAAGCCTATGTATAAAGTTCATACCTGCCACGGTGGAAAATCTCTTCATAGCACA